TGGACATAATTCAATCCAGAGCAAGCCCGCAAATCTTTGTTTTATCTAGACACTCATTTAAAAATTGCTTATTGCCTGGCCGGGCGTGGCTCAGCAGTTGAGTGTCGACCTAGGATCCAGGCGATCAGGGTTCGATTCCCTGTCAGGGCACATGCCCAGGTTGCGGGCTCGATCCCCAGTCGGGGACGTGCAGGAGGCAGCCGATCAGTGACTCTCTCATCATTGATGTTTCCATCTCTCTCTCTCCCTCTCCTTTCCTCTCTCTGAAATCAATAAAGATATATTTTTTTAAATTACTTATCATTTATTCGTTTTTGCTGGAATATTTTAAGGCAGAGATTATCATTTCACAAAATATATATAACCACAATGCTATTTTACTCCAACAAAATTAACAACTTTAATATCATCTAATATCTAGTCCATTCTCAAATTTTTCTGATTCTCTCTCTCAAAAAAAAAAAAGCCTTTTAACAGTTTATTTATTCCAATTAAGAATCGGGATCTAGAAAATGCATTTGGTTGTTGTTTCTTGAGACTTTCAATACATAACAGTCTTCCCCTTTTCATGCCATTTATTTGTATGAAAAGAGGAAGGCTGTGTGTTGTTTGTCCTTCAGGATGTCTCAAGTACTGGCTTAGATGACTGCTTCCTTGTTCCTTTATCTATGTCAGTGATTTTCAATCGCTGTGCCGCAAGAATTTTTCAAATGTGCAATACCTATTTAGTCAGGGGCACTGACCTCTTTTCCCTTAGACAGCCAGATAAAAAATGACAACAGCCCACACAATAGCCATGCGACGTAAATAAATCAAAATTATACCTATTTTTTTAATGTCAGATGGGCAAAAATATATATATTTTTTGGTGTGCCACAGAATTTTAGTAATCAGTTTATGTGTGCCATGAGATAAGAAAGTTTGAGCCTGGCCAGGTGTGGCTCAGCGGTTGAGCATCGACCTAGGATCCAGGAGATCGGGATTCGATTCCCGGTCAGAGCACATGCCCGTTGCGGGCTTGATCAATGACTCTCTCATCATTGATGTTTCTATCTCTCTCCCTCTCCTTTCCTCTCTCTGAAATCAACAAAGATATATTAATAAAAATAAAAAAATAAAAAGTTTGAAAATTGCTGACTGTGTATTTCCTGAAAACTGGTAGTTAGATCTAGACTTGAGATCAAAATTTTTTATGGGAATACTTCATAGGTAGTTCCATAGATTTCTTATTGCATCACTTCCAGGGGCACATAATTTCTAGTCGCCCCCCCCCCCTTATAGATGCTAAGATTGACCCGTGGGGCCTGATGTTGCCAGCCGCATCGTCCATTATGATCTTCCCTTCGACCTTTCATCTTCGGGTCTCAGCATCCACTGGTGATCTTTGCCTAGATCCAGTGTTTCCTTAGGAGTTGCAAAAGAGTGATTTCCTGAGACTGCCATTCCTCCCGAATTTAATTGTTGGTATTCTTTGATTAAAAAAAAACCACAAAAAACCCCACAACTTTCCTCCATCAGCTCTTTGTAGCTATGTGAAATGTACTTCATACAGACAAAAATAGCAATAAATGTGGGTGAGTGTTTCCCTTCCTCTCTCCATCAGAATAATAAATTGGCACCCTAGCAATCTCCCACGGCGACGTATTAGCTGTTGTGTATCATATGAAACTCATCGCTTTTTATATGTTTAATTTGTTTCAATCGATTTAATGTGATGCTCAGAATGGTCCTATTTTTGGCCGGTGGAAGCCTCTTCATATTGATTCCCGAGCCTTTGGTTGGGCCCCAATCATTCAGCCCTTCGAGATGCCCCAGGCTCATCCTGTGCATCTCTTGGCCCAGCCCTGGAGTCAGCCGTCTCTTCAAAACCCCTGCATCCTCTAGACACTAGTTGAAAATGATCGAGGCCACCAGCCAGGCCTCAGGCTATTCACTGCCTCCAGGTTTCCTTCGCTTCTAGGCCGTTCAGTGTCCTGAGCTCGGAAACAAAAATAGTGAGCACAAACTCACACCTCCAATTCAGGCTTTAAGATTGCAGGGTTTTACTCCACCTTTTTTGTTTTATACTTACACCTCTTTCCTGCTGAAAATCTTGCTCCATAACATTAGCATAATGACTTACGTGCATTAACCTGTAACAAACCTTTAGTTGTTTCAACCTAACGGCAGCGGGATCACTAACAATAAGGTTGTTGGGTACGGTTTCAGATTTCTTGGCTTTTTCCTTGTTTTTGTTTGTTTGTTTGCCTGATCCTTAGAAAATATCTGACTGTGAATGTAGGAGTCAAAATTCTTCATTTTAAAGCCACCTGGAGTAATGTTTTGCTCTGTGCGGCTACGTCGCCAACTTGATACAATGAGGTTCATTCGTTTTCGTATATTCTCAATTTCGAGGGATGTGATTTTAAAAAATTTCTTAATTGCTTATTTATCGAGAGAAACTATGCCTTTGCTCACATACTCATGTTTCCTTGTTCAGGGACCCAGGCCATTGGCAAACTGCCACGAAATTCAGCCCAAAGAAGTTCTTTCGTTCCAAGGTCACGCTGCCGCCTGAGATACCGGCTTCCCCACCTCAAGATCGTTCACGGGCTCCTCATGGCTGTAGAAATCTGCAGCTGCCTTCTTTCTTGGTTCAGCCACAGCAAACTCGCAGCCAGCTGCCACCCCCAGGGACGCAGTGACGGCTCCCACGGTACGAAATCACAGGCGCTGGGCCGGGCCACGCGCTGAGGCGCCGTCCAAGCCCCGGAGGACACCGCAGTTATTTCCTCCTCGACACCAATGTTCTTCCTGAGCTCGGGGGATGGGATTTTTATGTGTATATTTTTTCTGATTCTGTAGCACATTTACATGGCTGCAAAGTTGAATATGAAGCAAGATAGATCTCACTTCTAGCCCTGCTCCTCACCTTAAATTACAATTTGTATTAGTTTTTTTGGTTTATTTTTCCAGTTTCTTATTGAAAATATACATATATGTGTACACGTCNATAGATCTCACTTCTAGCCCTGCTCCTCACCTTAAATTACAATTTGTATTAGTTTTTTTGGTTTATTTTTCCAGTTTCTTATTGAAAATATACATATATGTGTACGTAAGAGCAGCACATGGTAAACACCGTCTGCCCCCTTTTCAAAAACTAATCAATATAGAGATCTCGCCCATTAATGCCTCTTTCCACCTGCATTACACCAACTTGGGCGAATGCGCTAGAGCTCATTTCACACCCCTCTGCTGGCGATCGCTTCTGGTATGCTCCCAATCATTGCTTTTGGAAATAACATCACAGTGCACAGCTTGTTCATGCATCTTTTTGTATTTTTGCCCGTGTATCTTTGGGATAGATCCTTAGGAGAATGGTTGAGCTAAAGGACATATGTGTGTGTCATTTGCTCGATGCTGTCAGAGCCCCTCCACGGGGTTTGAACCACTCGAGCTGAATTTTAACAACGTGCAAGAAGGAGGGGTAAGACACAGCCCCCCGCCCCGTCTAGCACCTCAGCCTGGGATGGGACTAGCCTCCATGCAAGGACAGACGTGGGCGTATCTAACGTGGGGACAGCCAGGCCCTGGGAGTCCTAGAAGAAACCATAAATTCCATTCTCTTTACTTTGGCTGGAATAATACCGGGTTCCTGGGTATCCTGTTCATCTCAGGCTGAGCAGAAGCTCTGGGTGGTCTGTTTTTGTCTTCTTTGATTGATAAAACACTTAAAAATGAATTGTTCCTTTGTATGTTTGGTTTGGCAGACAAAATGTTCCCAAGGCATGGATCCTATTGGGGACTTATGTCAGGGGCTCAGCAAGTGGAAGCTATTAAGTTCGTTGGTTTATCTGATCCCGGGGGTATTTTTTACCAATGGAAAGAAAACGAACATGGTTGGGATGCTTTCAGTCTCTCAGTCATTCAACCCACATGCATTGAACACCCCTCAGGCCCCTCTACTCCCACCTCTAGGCCAGAAATAAAAGCTGCACGGCCTGCAAGCTGAATCCAGCCCACAGCTGCTTGAAGTTTCGCTCACACAATTTTGAAAAAATTTTTAATTAGTTGCTAACATTTAAAAATCAGGGGAGTTCACAAAAGCATCCAGACCTCAGACTTCTCTTGAAAACCTTCCAGCAGGGCAAGCGCTGGTCTGAACTGAATCGAGGCTGCCTTTGTGGTGGGCATGCATTGCCCTGGGCCATGGAGCCCACTAGCCCTTCCATTCATCCCCCTTGCCTCTGGACCTTGAGTTCATGAGCCCTGCCCTGGACTGCAAGCTCCCTGAAGGCAAAGACCGCCCATGTCTTATTTGACTTTCCAGCATGGAGCCCAGACCCCAGCCTATAGTGAGTCCTCGGTAAATGGACCCACTATATGAATAAATATCTCTTGGATGCATGCAGCCCTTTTCTTCCGATATTAAAATTGTACTATTGTAATACTGTTCTAGCCTAGATTTTTGAAGTAGCAATAAGTACCCCCGATTTGTACCATCTGTCTCATTACCTAAAGCCACTCACATGTCAGTGGGCTCCCCCGCCCTCACTCTACCACGCGACCTCCATTCCTCCCAGCGATCTCCTCTCCAAATGCAGGCAGCAATGCACAGCTCACGGGGTCGCTACGAGGACGACGCAAGGCCAAGCAGGTCAAGCATGGTACCTTGCACTTATTTTTATGACATGATTAGCTGTTTTATCTCCAAGATAGCAAGCATGCCCCCGCTCTTGGTTAGATCATGTGGTTTTGGTGAGTGTTCATTTCCAGCAATGCCCCAAGGAAGAGATTACAACAGAGATCTCTGTATTCTGAAATTTTTTTAAGTCTCCCCGAGGAACACTGATGGAGATAAAGATCGCATCGGGAGGTTTGTATTTTTTATCCGGCCATCAGCAGCCCTCCAAGGGGACAGTGAGGGCGGGTCAGAGCGTATATAACCTGCAGCTCCTGCCCCTCACTGCGTGCTCAACACCTGATCTTTCCTGAGTGCGCGAACCAGAGAAGAAAGCATGCGGTGGGTTGGGTTCCTCGGCCTGGTGGCCCTCTCAGAGTGCTTGGTCACGTAAGTGTGGGGACTGCAGCTTTCTTCTGGCATCTTTCTCTTTGTCTTTCATTCTTCCACCATCCAGGGCAGAGAAGGGAATGCGATCATTGCCTGTCTTAAAGTCCACATCTCCATTTATGGATGAGTAGCTTGCCATGGGCACTGTGGGGCCCAGGGGTCCTGGGACAGGCTTGGGGGTGACACAACCCCAGCCTGCATGTGGGCTGTGTGAATGGTGCTCCTAGAATCTGTGTAGACGGGGTCTCGTCTAGGACAGCATTTCTCTCGAATTGGCTTCCAGGCCCTCTCCCTGCTCCCTCCGCCTCCATGTGCACCTGCTTCTGTGTCTTCGTCTCTGTACCTCTCTCGTCTATCTCTCTATCTCTTTGAATGTCTCTGTACATGTAGGACTCTGTGGGTTTGCTTCTTCTGTTTTGATTCTTGCTTGTCTCTCTGATCTCTGAATTTTCCTAATGTATTCCCCCCACCCCCTGGCTGCTTCTCTCAGTCTTTTCCTCTGCTTGAACCCTGGAGAAAGATCAGGGCGGGGGGGGATATTTCTAGGCCCCATTTTGCCCTAACAAGCAGTGTGACCACAGCCAGGTCACAAAGCTCCTGCATTTCAGGTTCCTCCCCTGGAAAAGAGGCTAATGATTCCCACCCCGCCTGCCTCCCAGGGCTTCTTTGAGGAGACAGTGAGATGACAACAGCCGTAGGAAGGGCTCTTAGTCGAGGTCTCCTCTCTGTCAGGCGCATTGTAGCCGTCACCTCACTCGGAGCCCAAAACATTTCATGTGAGGGGCATGTTCTCATTCCACTTCTTTACAGATGGGGAAACGGAGGCTCTGAAAGGTCACCTGGCTTACCCAAGGTTACAACAGGACCTGTATTCAAACCGAGGTCCACGGCCACGGTCTTTTCATTTTCTGGGGTGGCCCGCCCTGATCGTAAGATGACATTCATAAAAATACTTGGAAAATACACAGTGTGGTTACAATGCAAGGTGTGGCGGTTACGTTGAAACATGGGGCCGTGAACTGTAGTATTGTGTTTCCTTTTCCCAATGAAAGAATCCCTCTGACCAAGATCAAGTCCATGCGAGAAAGTCTCCGGGAAAAAGACCTGCTGAAAGATTACCTGCAGCAGAACCCTTACAGCCACGCCTACAAGTTTTTCCGCAAACAGCAAGGAGTCACTATTGAACCCATGAGGAACTACCTGGACGTGAGTGTGGTGCGGGTGGCGACCTGCTGCCCCCTCCAGAGTCCTGGTCAAGCCCGGGCTCCATCTGGAGGTGGGAGCCAGGGTGTTGGGGCTGGGGCTCCTGCAGGCAGCAAAGCTGGGGAACAGGGGGCCCATCCCCGGGGGAGAAGGCCCTCCCACCCTCAGCTCTTGGTCTGTGGTGACTGGGTCCAGCAATGACCAGGTGGCAGGTAAACGTGTGCTTCAGTGCCAGTGACACATCACTGGGCGCCTGTGAGCCACGGCACTGGTTTGACAGATTCTGTTCCTTCCGAACTAAACGAACCAACGACAGAGCCGACTGTGAATCAAGTTTGCTCCCTCGGGCAGAGGAAGTGCAGCCTCCGCAGCCCCACAAATGACCCCAGGAAAGTTACTGAGCTCCTGCGGTGTGAGGTTGTACAGCACTAACATTATGCTTATGGTTATTGATAACACAGGGTCTCGTTTCTTCTGTGAGAAGAGACAGGCAAAGAGGAAATAAATGTCAAATAAAAGGGCCACCTGCATGATATTGACATTACATGGTTTGAGCTTGGAGAAAGTGGCCCGGGTGACCCAGGAGGAGGGCTCCTGGAGGAAAAGGCATTCAAGCTAGGCCACGAAGGGTGGAAGGATTTGGAGAGCTGCAGGGGAAACTGGAGAACTTTTCAAATGAAGGCACTGGCCTGAGCAATGTCCGCGAGGTGGGTGGGGTGGTTAGAAAGTGATTGCAGGAGACAGAGGACACCTCGATAGAGGCAGGCACCCCGGGGATCAAGGGTGGCCAGGGCAGCCAGGCCTGACCTAAGCACCCCTCCCCGGCCCCGGCAGCTGTACTACGTTGGCACCATCAGCATTGGGACGCCCCCGCAGGAGTTCAAGGTCATCTTTGACACAGGCTCCGCTGACCTGTGGGTGCCGTCCATCTACTGCTCCAGTCCCGCCTGCTGTGAGTGTCCCCCGAGCCCTGTCTCGCCCCCACCCCGGCTTTGGCAGGCTGGCGGACACTCGCTCTCTGTCTGCAGTTACGCACCAAACCTTCAACCCTGGGAAGTCCTCTACCTTCCAGGGCACCCGCCGGCCCATCCAGCTGCAATACGCCTCGGGCAGCATGACCGGAGTGCTCGGCTACGACAGCGTCAGGGTGAGGGGGACACTGGAGGCGGAGGCAGGGCGGGCCCGGGGGCCACCTCTGCCCATAGGACCAGGCGCGTGTCAGCTGGAAGCACCCGACCTCCCCAAAGCCTCCCAGCGGCTGGCCGCTGTCCTGTGGGGCTGTCCCTTGGGGAGCCAGCACCCTGCTGACAAACTCCCCGCATGCGATCAATCGCTAACCCAGAGAGCGGGTGTGGTGCGGGAGGGGCCTGGAGGCCTGCATTTGCAGCTCCCTCTCCATGGTGAGCTCAGGCTGATTTTGCTGGGAGGAGGGAGAGGCGAGGGAAAACCCATTTTTATATCCGCAGAGTGTGCCAGGCACTGTGCTGGGCACTTTCGTTGTAATAACTTGTTTGATTCTGCAACAACCCCCTGCGGTAGGCACTACTGCTACAGATGAGGGAACCGGGGTGCAGAAAGAGTGAGGACCTTGTCCAGGGCCCCACACCTGGTAGGCAGCAGCCCTGGGGTGCGAGTCAGGACTCGTGCAGGTGTGGAGTCTTTTCTGGGAGAGGGCGGAACTGATCTGGGGTGTCTGGGGGCTGCCGAGGGCTCCAGACACCGGGGCAGGGGAAGCAGGGAGCCAGAGAGGCTGGAGGGCCCTGATAAAAAGGTTCTTACTTTTGGAGGCCCGTGAGAATCTAACAAAAACTGTGGACTGCCTCTCCAAAGCTCCTGAGGCCACACACACACACACACACACACACACACGCACACACACGCACGCGTGCATGTTTCCCAGGCAGACTTTTCGCAAGACTCTTCTGGCAGCTATGTGGTACAACTGGCTTCTGCCCCCTAGGGATGTAGAATCCACAATGGATTGTAGTGAATCCCCTCCATTTCTGTCACCAGATCACTAGAATGCCAAAAAGAAGATGACCCTGCTCTCTACTCATTTGGCCCTCAAGTGGGAGCCACTTGGTCCCACCCTGCGTCTCAATCTCCCCAGCTGTAAACAGGATAAAGCCTATTTTACCAACTAGGTGCTGTTAGCAGGAGGAGCAGGCGTTGATTGAACTCCTCAGCAAGGCACAGTGCATTCCTGCCCTGGCTTGTTAGAATCATCTGAGGATAACTGAGGCACAGCCACACCTCAGTTGATCCCTGGGGTGTTAGTGGCATCTCCCTACCCACCTCGGCCCCAGCCCAGCCCAGCCGCAGCCCCGCTTCCCAAACCTTTACATGAGATCACCCTCTCCTCCCACAGATCGGGGACCTTGTCAACAAAGTCCAGGCATTTGGCCTGAGCCAGACAGAGTCCAGCAAGTCCCTGGAATACGGGGCTTTCGATGGCATCCTGGGCCTGAGCTACCCCACCCTCGCCCTCCAAGGCACCACCCCTGTCTTCGACAACATGTGGAAACAAGGCCTCATTTCCGAGAAACTCTTCGCCTTCTATTTGAGCACGTAAGTCTGAGCTGGACGAACCCTTTCTCCAAATCAGCTATAAGATGTTTCCAGTCGCATGAAAAATTATAGAAGACCTGACCCACACGTTTCCTGAGAGATGGTCTAGTCCAGGGCTCAGCAAATAGTGGCCCGGGGCCACATCTGGCCTGCCACCTGTTTTTATAAATAAAGTTTTATTGGAACACAGCCCTGTTCACTCGGTTGCATGCTTCCTACGGCTGCTTCTGCTCTACAGAGGCAGCCACGTGCACTTGCGATAGAGACCGTGCAGCCTGCGAAGCCTAAAGTAATGATGGGCTAACATTCTAAAAAATCTGCCAACCCCTGTAGTTCAAGCCTCTCCTTTGGTAGATGGGGAAACTGAGGCTCAGAGAGGAGCTTTGCACAACATTGCCCAGTCAGACACTGGTAGTGCAGGACTCGAGCTCAGCCCACGGAACTGTCCTCTGTGGCGGGGGGTCAGGCCATCGGCAGGTCTTCAGTCACTGGGCTGATAGCAGGAAACGCCAAACTCCCTGGTGGCTGAGGGTCTGGAGGGGGTGGAGGGAGAGGAGCACAGGCTAGAGGAGGACCCTGTTGGAGACTGTGTGTTCCCACCGAGGGCAGAGGTTGCCCCTGGATCCGAGCAGGAGGCGGACAGTGTGGTTGGGGCGGTGGATTCTGTGTGGACTTGAGTTCCAGGCTCTACAGCATGAACGGAAGCAAATCACCTAACCTCCCTGAGCCTCTGGAAGACTTGTACCCAGGTGACTCCTTTAACAACTATTTGTTGAGCACCTACTATGTGCTGGGTACTGCTCTGTGCACGTGAAAGAGACAGACAAGAGGAAGAAAAGGCAGGTGAGATGTAAACTAATAGGTAAAAGGAAAAGCTAACTCAGGTAGTAACTGGCTCTGGGAAAGGAATAAAGCAGGGTGACAGAACAGACAGCGGTGACAGTGTGGTTTAGATGGGCAGACGCAAGGGCCTCTCTGAGCCAAGACCCTGTGGTGGGACAGAGGCAAAGGCCCTGAGGCGCAGCAGAGGACCAGCAGGGGGCCCCGTGGCTGGAGCCCTGGAAGGGAGGCAGGGACAGGGATTTCAGGTCAGGGACAGCAGGGGCGTGGGGCCCTAATGAGCATGACCCTATGGACGGCACATGTCCCAGGCCTGTGTGGCAAGCCCTGAGTGAGCCTGAACACACAGCACGCTACTTCCTAGTGGCCTCAGCTTTTCAGAAAAATGACGGGCCAGACCCCTCCGCACAGCATCCTCCGGAGGCATCTCCGAGCCGTCTGGTTGCTGGAGGGGACCTGGCCAGCTCCAGAAAGGTGGGTAGTCAAAGCTCCGCCAGACTGTCCAAGCTCAAACCGTAGCTTTGCTACTCACTAGCCGTGTGACTGATCTTGGGCAAGTGCTCAACCCCTCTGTGCCTCAACTTCCCCGTCTGTATCATGGAGCTCACAGTAGCGCCCACTGCACAGGGCTGGGTGATGTGGGGATAAGCCACCAATGGTAGGTGCAGCCCTTGGTGCCTTTGTGTTGACATCACTAAGGTTGAGAAAAGCCACCCATTGTCCTTCTCCCTCTCTCTGCCCCCCCCCCCCC